GATTCTCTCACTCTCAAGGTACTCATGCAATTCTTAAATCATTGATTAATAACTTATTTTACTTGTTAGAACAATAAGACCAGAGATCTAATTCATAATTTGCAACACATCATGGACAGGATTGAACTGCGTTTCTGTTTCTTTTTTTCCCATCACTGCTACTTGTGTTAAGGTCGTGGTTATGGGGTGATTGCCTGTTCAGCTTTAGCCAGGTACTTTTGTATGGGAAAAATTTTGAAACTCATATTGAATTTTAAGGAAATTTAACTTTTTTGATTTGTTTACTATGCTTTTGTTTTTTGTTTCAAGCGTAATGGCATATTATTTTCAGCATGGGTTATTCTCTACCACAGGTTGGCTTTGCGCAGAGAGCACACTTTAGTTGAATGAATGATATTCGCCCATGGTAATTTGATATGATTTTTATATGATTTGGTTGAATTTTGTGCTAGATTGCCTTGCCTTATTCTTCATCATTTAAAAAACTATTTTTGTGTATTTGTGATTGAGATGTTTTAAACCATATTTTCATAGTCAAACATTTAGTAAATTTCATCTCCCATTGCCTATCAGGAGAGAAAGAGTGAATATGCAATTTTACTGGCAATGAATTAGAAAAATGAACAGAGGGTAGAGTATATGAGAAAAATAATGTTGTCCAAATAATGAAGAGGACACTTACTCTTAGATGGAGCTGCATTTGCAAAATTAATTCATTGAGTTGACTCCAAAATAGACATGTTTAATTTTGTAAATTGAGTTTTCTGGCAGTATCTTGTTCCCTTATATGCAGCAGCAGCCAGCTTACATTCTATTTCCAGCGAATTTCTTGCCATGCTTCAATATTACTGGACTCATATCATGCTTTTGTTCAACTGGCAGGCTTATTCTCTTATTTTCCGAATTGTGTCAGAACTTGGAAATGAAATGTGAAAATGTAGTAGGAAGTTTTTTTTGTGATTCTTGATCTGCCTCCTAGATATATGCATACAACCACAGAATATGTTATGCTTCCTTGGCTGATGTAGCTGGATAAAACATCACTACTTCGCTATGGCCATGGCCAAAATACACACAATGTAAAGATACAAGCCAGATCCTAAACGGATATAGGAATCCAGGAGGACCGACAAAAATCCTGTAGTCAACAACTTAACATAGAAGCCTCCTCCATGTATAAGAAACCTCCATCCCACTTTGTCAATAGAACCCATACCTCAGGTTCCTTTCATACTAACCTAAGAATACCACCTAGTAGCAGTAGAAAGGTCAATTATATTTATCTTCTAACATCCAAGCCTTTTACCACCAGTAGCCAACAAAACAGCATAGATATATCTGAAAAACACCCATAGAAGTTTTTTATTTTAAAAAATTCTAACAGCCTCAATCAATATTTCACCAAAAAAAAAAATTCTATTTTCAAGGAGTAACATTTACAATCGCATTCAGCATGCTTATGGCCAAAGAGTGATAAGTATATATATTTTTTATAAGTAACATTATTAATAATCTGTAAAGTGAGTGCAAATTGAGTATGCATCTTCCAGTTGGTGATGAACACAATAATCAGGACTTAAGAAGGTCTGTTGTGTTAAGTCACCAATTTTCCCAAAAGCATGGTATTAGAGTTAAGGTTGAGAGAGGTCTTAGGTTCAAATCTCTCTATTGGCATTTGGTATTCAGACCCCATTTGGTTTCGTGTTCTCTGTTTGGTTGTTTGAATCTCCTTATGTTTGGTTCTTTGTCTCTCCACGTGCAAGATGGAGTTGCATGTGAAGGAGGGTGCTAGATAGCACAATATACATTGTTAGGCTCATTTCCTAACAGCTTTAAGCTTTTGGGAAATTGGTGACTTTTAGTATGTTGCTTTCCACACCACTCCTCTAGTCCTCTCCTCTTCACAACCAACCATCCTGTCCACCTATCAAATGCCTAGACCATCGATTCAACAATAAGATTCACGCCATACCAAAAAGGGCCAACAACAAAGAGACATAATCGTAGGGTCATATTCCCATTCAACTTCTTCAAAGCCTCTATTGCTTTCTCCTCCATGGATGGGCCCCTTCGCAATCAATCTTGTTTCTTTACCTAAACCAAAATTACTTTCGTCAAATTTGGCTGCCACTCTTTAGTCTCAAAAAAACTAACGATGCATTGTCCTTAATGTAAAAAATAAAATCAAAAAGTTAAGGAGATTACCTTAAATGATTAACCATGTCTATATGTGCCATTGGCTGCAAGGGGTCAGCGCCAAAAACATAAAGGAAAAAAAATACAAACGAAAAACTAACTACTCGTAAAAGTAACATTATTTTGAATAACATACACAAACCGGGTCATCAAAATGATTTTGATCAATTATCTTGAACAACTTTTTGAATGGAGTAAAGAAGTTGGAATCATTGATCTCTAATTATCTAAAAACTACGAAAAGGGTGTTTTTGGTTTCTATAACACGTCACAGCAAATGAAATACAAAATTCCAACAAAACTTCCACAAAAGAAAAGATAAAATTGCATAAGATAACATATGTACTAGCAGTTCGCTCTTTGCATGTTTCTCCACATGAAACTATTAACAAAGTTTTTTTTTCCCACTCTTTTTTCCATTTCTTATTTCCTTCTCATACAAGATCCACAGCATGCTTATCATGAAATACAACCCAAATTATTAGAAAGGAATTTCCAAACCTTACACATATGTGGGAACACTGTAGCAATCAAGTCAAATACTACATAGTATCAATATAAATAAATTATATATAACACCACGTATATCAGTATAACCAATTGCCCTATTTTTGTTTCATCATAGAGTAACAGAAAAGGCGTCATTTCAATACATTATGTAAACAAAAACATAGACGAACTACTCAATTCTCAATTCAACAACACACCCAATTTTCAAACAACACAATTCAAATAATTTTGGTTGAAACTCATTAAATTATATGAATCGAGTCGTGCATCATACAATTCTAACACCATACTAGTTGGAACATGTAGAAGTCGTGTCAACAAAATAATTTTGATCTTTTACGCATGAAATACGATATCCATATCCAAGGAATTGTAGCAATGTAAGTGAAATTATTCTTGAGTGATAACTGAGATTAGAAATTACCTGGTAATTGACACTGCCAGCTGGTGTCGAAGGCAAGACGAGATTTGCTTCCAGATCAGGTTGAAGATCTCAAGGGAATAAAAGCATGGTAACAAATTGATTTATCCTCAACATTCAATCAAAATTAAGAAATAATGAGACTAAACAACAAATTAATGCGCTTCCAAAGAAAATTAAGAGTAGATGTATCACAACCCTCCAATAAAAGATTAGCACAAAACTCGTAGGCTCAAAAGTCTCCACTATCATTCTTCAAGATTTTCAAGTCATATCAACTAAAAATCATATTCATGTGGCAGAAGTGTAGTGCAATGATTTCCAAATATGAACACATGGAATGCTGTAACAAAGTAGCTAGCATATCAAACTTCAACACAATTCTCGAGTTAAAGCAATAAAATACCACAAGTATGCCCAATCACCCAATGTATAGAACAAAAGATTACCATGAGCACTAACTTTTTTTTTTTTAAAAACAAAACAACTAACTCATAGCAGCAAGCAAATATATAAATTCTTCTCAAAATAAGTATTTTCTGCCCCCAACCTAAACGATGCATTGTCCTAAATGTAAAAAATAAAATCAAAAAGTATAGGAGATTACCTTAAATGATTAACCATGTCTATATGTGTCATTACCTGCAAGGGGTTAGCGCCAAAAACACAAAGGAAAAAAAAAATACAAACGAAAAACTAACTGCTCCTAAAAGTAAAATTATTTTGAATAATATGCACAAACTGGTTCCCCAAAATAATTCTGATCAATTATTTTGAACAACTTTTTGAATGAAGTAAAGGAAGTTGGAATTGTCAATCTCTAATTATCTAAAAACTACGAAAAGTGAGTTTTTGGTTTCTATAACACGTCACAACAAATGAAATACAAAATTCCAACAAAATTTCCACAAAAGAAAAGATAAAATTGCATAAGATAATACTGTGAGAATAGTGTTCTCCGTTTTCCTTTTCCTTTTAGGATTAGGAATTAGTGTTAGTGTTCTATAGCTAATAGCATTCTCTATCAATGATGTATTTTGTTTAGGATTAGGATTTAGCATTCTATATAAGTGAGTGATGTATTCTTTGTTCAATTTAATGAGATATACAGTTTGACTCAGAAAACTTATATGGTATCAGAGCAAGGTTTGAACTGAAACCCTAGAAGCTCTTTGTGAGTTAATCACAAATAGTCTCTCGAAAATCAACCCTCTGGTATTTTCTCTCTGAGTCGCAGGTCGTGACCTCCTCTGTTTCTTCTGTGTTCGTCTGGTTCGAGCGAAGGTCTCGAGTTGTCCTTCGTCTGTCATTTGGTTCGTCTCCTGGGTACTCTGCCTCGCAACCCATTCGTGAAAACCCTAGCCTCTGGTTCGTGATCTGTCACTAGACTTGAGTCGTCGTCGTCGTTGGTTCTCTCCTGCTTCGCTTCGCGCGATCGAAGCGCTGTCTATGCCGGCTGCTCCAAAGTCGACTTCGACTCTTGTCTTTCTCTCTTTTCCTCAATCTCTCTCTCTCTGTCTCTGTGTGTGTGGTTCGAAGTTGACCTACGGCTGTCTTTCGTTACCACCAGTTCTCCTTCATTCTTCTTTTGGACCAAACAAGTTCCTGATTATTATACTTTGACCCCTCAGTTCTTTTTATTTTTGCTAGTTATCACACTTTGCCCCATCTTTTCCTTCTGGTTCATCACAATGTCAAAAGATAAAATTCAAGCTATTAAATGCAAACTTACTGGTGACAACTATCCTTCTTGGTCTAGTGTTATGAAAAATTTTCTTCTCGGTCGAAAAAAATGGGGCTATGTTTCTGGTTCTATTCCTCGACCATCAGACCCGAAGGAGGATGGATATCTGACTTTCTGTGATACTTGGGATTGTGATAATGCCCAAGTTCTGACCTGGTTTCATAATTCCGTGGCTGACCGTATTGGAATGATGTTTTCCAAGTACAATACTGCCAAAGAGGTGTGGGATTATTTACTAGGTGTCTATCAGCAGTCCAACTTTGCCAAGCGGTATGAGTTGGAAACAGCTATTCAGAATGCTCGTCAGCGGAATCAGACTATTCAGGACTTTTATATTGAGATGACAGGTCTCTGGGATCAGTTGGCTCTTATGGAACCACCTAGTCTCAAGATACTAGACACTTATATTGAGTTTCGGGAGCAAGGTCGTTTAGTACAGTTTTTAACAGCCCTCTCCCCTCAGTATGAGGCTATTCGAGGTGGCATCCTTCATCGATCTCCTCTTTCCTCTGTGGATGCTATTGTTCGTGAACTCCTCTCTGAGGAAACCTGCCTTAAGACAGCCAGTCAGACTTTGCCTCCTTCTGTCTTCTTGGCTCCTACCAAGCAGCCCTTGTTATCGACCCCTCCTCCTCATCAGCTTCAGGCCACTGCGAAACCCAAGAAAGGACCGTTAGGGCCAGATGAGTGTGCTTTCTGCCATCAAAGGGGTCATTGGAAGAACAATTGTCCCAAAAAGGGACGTCAGCTTGCTCCATCTTCTTAGACACAGTTTCGAGGTCCTACTTCGAGTACTTTTCGACCTTCTGCTACTTACACTGCATCCACTCTGGCTCCCGATCCTAACTTGGCTTCCTTGAGTGCTTAGGTTGCAAAACTTCAGCATACCCTGTCCACCTCTCAGTTATCCACATCTGCCTCCGCTCTTGCCTCTCTTCGTTCAGGTTTGCTTGGGTCCTCTTCAGGTATCCCTTCTTCTGTCTGGCTTTTTGATTCTGGTGCCTCTCATCATATGACTCCTCACATTTCCTTACTTCAAAATTGTATTCCCCCACCCGTTCCTATTACTATTAATACTGCTAATGGATCCGGTATGTCTGTTCTGTCTGTTGGGTCTGTCTTCCCCTCTGCCATGTCTGCTGTTACTATTCCTTCTGTTCTTTATGTTCCTTAGTTATCTGTCAGTTTATTATCCATTAGTCAACTTGATAGGTCTGGTTTTGATGTTATCTTTTCCTCTTCTGTCTATTGTGTGCAGGATCGGGTGTCCAAAAAGCAGATTGGGATCGGCCGTAGAATTGGAGACCTCTATGTAGTCGAAAGCTTGCATCTCCCCTTATCTACTTCTCTAGCTGCACTTTCCTCATTTCAGTTAGATTCTCAGTCGAGTCAGTTTTACTTATGGCATTCTCGCCTTGGTCATTTGTCTGTTGACCGCTTACGGTCTTTAACTCAGTCAGGGTTGTTGGGTAAAGTTTCTCCTAGTCAAATTGATGAATGTCGGTGATGTAAACTTGCTAAAATGTCAGCCTTACCATTTAATAAAAGTACCTCTATTTCTGTTTCTCCTTTTTCTCTTGTACATACTGATGTCTAGGGACCCTCTCCTGTTCTTACTAAAGGGGGCTGCATATTATGTCTTTTATTGATGACTGCACCCGTTACACTTGGGTTTATCTTATGACTCATAAATCTGACTTCTACCAAATATACCGTACCTTCCAGTCTATGGTCACTACACAGTTTGGCTCTACTATTAAATTGTTGCGGTCTGACCTGGGTGGAGAATACTTTAAAACTGAATTCTGTGAATACTTGGTCAAATTGGGTACTATTCACCAAACTTCTTGTACTGATACACCTGCCCAAAATGGTTGAGCTGAGCGTAAACACCGTCATCTCCTTGAGACAGCTAGGTCTCTCCTTCTCTCCGCCTCCGTTCCGGCTCCGTTTTGGGGTGAGGTAGTTCTTACTGCTGCTTTTCTTCTTAACCGTATGCCTACCCCTCTTCTTTCTAATCGGTCTCCTTATGAGGCTCTGTTTTCTCAACTTCCTAATTACTCTCTCCTTCGTGTGTTTGAGGATGAGTTGTTTGCTCTACAGAAAACTAATACACGGGAGTTGGTTCCTTTGCCTGCTGGTAAGAATTTGGTTGGTTGCAAATAAGTCTACAAAGTCAAGACTCATTCTGATGGTTCTCTTGAGCGCTACAAAGCCCGTCTAGTTGCCAAAGGTTTCTCCCAGGTCTTCTTTCTAATCGGTCTCCTTATGAGGCTCTGTTTTCTCAACTTCCTAATTACTCTCTCCTTCGTGTGTTTGAGGATGAGTTGTTTGCTCTACAGAAAACTAATACACGGGAGTTGGTTCCTTTGCCTGCTGGTAAGAATTTGGTTGGTTGCAAATAGGTCTACAAAGTCAAGACTCATTCTAATGGTTCTCTTGAGCGCTACAAAGCCCGTCTAGTTGCCAAAGGTTTCTCCCAGGAATATGGTATTGATTATGAGGAAGCGTTTGCTCCTGTTGCCAAGATGACTATTGTCCGTACTTTAATCTCTGTCGCTGCTATTCGTTCTTGGCCTCTTTATCAGATGGATGTTAAGAATGCTTTTCTTAATGGCCATCTCACTGAGGAGGTTTACATGCGTCCTCCCCCTGGTCTTCACCATTCCTCTAGCCAAGTTTGTCGTCTTCGGCGTGCTCTGTATGGTCTGAAGCAGTCTCCTCGTGCTTCGTATGATCGCTTTCAGATTGCTGTTACCAAGCTTAGATTTCATCCTTCTGCTTCCGACTCTGCTCTATTTCTGAGACATACCTCGACTGGTTTTGTTGCTCTCTTACTATATGTAGATGAGATGATCATCACTGGCTCTGACTCTGCTGCTATCTTTGAGGTCAAGCAGCATCTCTTCCGCACCTTCGAAATGAAGGATCTGGGACCATTGCAGTATTTTCTCGGTTTTGAGGTGGCTTCTTCTCCCAAGGGTTACTTTCTATCCCAAGC